GAACTTTTAGGCTTAGGGGTTGAGGGTCGAAAGCCTGAGGTCGATTGAGCTACGATCCCTCAACATGCAGTCCTCTTCGGGGTGCCACCCCCCCCCCCCCCCCTCAAAAGACACGTCATGCATACGCCTGGTGCTCCGGTTTGTACCTTACCCCGCCACAACAAACTTTGGTGATAGGGCCCAAAGTCAGTCCGTGCTAGGGTTTGTAGCAATAGTCAGAACATGTACGTAGGATCTGTTAGTTTAAGCTTACGCAACCTCTCGCGACCCCATGCGACGTGCATGCTTTCAGGTCATCCAGGGCTTGGCACTGTGACCTTTCGGAACAAGTTGGGGGGCCATGGGGGGTCTCCCCAAAAATTGGCCGCTGGCTTGTACTGGTGGGCTTTACTCACTCGCTGCAGCTTCTTCAGGCGCTCGTTCCTGGTGGATGCAAGGGGCGGGCAGCATTGCCAACGCATCGTCTTGGCGAACTTCCACAGTGGCTGAAAGATGACATCATCGCTGCAGGCCTACCTGCCTTCACGAACGCAAACCCTGCCACCCGTAACGAGGTCAAAAGCTGTGCAAATCCAGAAGCCCCACGTAAACTCCTCCACCTGAAGAGCTATATGCAAACCGAAAAATCCATACACTCAAGCGCAAATCACAAGAGCAGCGCAAGCACAAAGCTCGCTGACACAAACACCGAGCGAGACGTAAATAGCGAGTACTGTGCCACTGTGCCTTATACCGCTGGTACTGCTAGTTCCGCTACTGCTACTGCTGCTGCCGATACTGCTACTGCTACTGCTGCCGTTACTGCTGCTAGCACTACTACTGCTACTGCTACTGCTGCTACTGCCACTGCTGCTACTGCTACTGCTGCTACTGATGCCACTGCTACTGTTGTAACTGCGACTACGACGACGATGACGACTACTACCACTACGACCACGACGACGATGTAGTCTGTAGTCGGAGCAGTGGTAGCAGTTGTGGGAGTTGGCAGTCGTCGTCTACTACTACTACTACTACTACTACTGCTACTACTACTACTACAACTACTACAGCTACTACAACTACTACAACTACTACAACTACTACAACTACTACAACTACTACAATTACAACAACAACTACAACTACAACTACTACTACTACGACTACGACTACGACTACGACTACGACTACGACTACGACGACTACGACGACTACTACGACTACTACGACTACTACGACTACTACGACTACTACGTCTA